CAGCACTTTCAGTCTCATCATGCTACCTCTGCTGTTCCAGGAGCACACAGCAAATTGGCCACATGAAAAGGGGTCCCTAATAAAGTTGCCTCACAATAGAGGGTATCATAGTTGGGTCAGCAGCCACAAGCTGAGCTCATCTTCCCTACTTGAGGACACCAGCAGGGTTGTCACAGGTAAAACCAAAAGAGAAGAGGAGATCTGGGTGTAGAGGAAGATGCCCACACTTGGAGTTGAAAGACCTGAATTTCAATCCCAATCAAAGGGGCTCTCCTACTTCAGTAATTATCTAGTCAACTAGGTAAGCATGGACCTGAGTCTACGGGCAGCAAAATGAATGTAGGCAAAGCTCCAAAATGCACAAGTGTGAGCAGAGAACCTGACACATACGTAGTGCCAATTTCCTTCTAGCTGTAACTTTCTCTGGTACTAACTTCTCACAAAAACCCTACCCACTGGCAGAGGCACAGAAATGATCCCAAGTGTCAAATTTCTAATTTGCCAGAAATCCTGTGGCTTCTCACATCGTTTATCCACAAAAATGGAATGTTCCGGGTGGCTGAACAATTGAGTCTAGAGAGGAAGTGAATTGACACCATGAGCCTTGCTGGACCCCCAGCAATGGAAGCATCCTAGAAAGGCCAAAGATGGGATAGGAATGTTTATTGGCTCTAGAATACAGAGCTAGAGAGAAGAGTCCAGGATCTTGGCACCAGGTCCAAGGTCCTTTCCATGCCATCTGCGTAGTGTGCTGATGAGAGTGAGCACTCTGCCCTGTGGAGAAATCAGATCATGCTCAGAACTGAGGCACAGAAATGGGGAGCAGAAGGCCCCATCTAACTTGAGGTGTTCCTGCATCCCCTGCTGGCCCTGCCTGGCATGCCTCAAGGAATCCCACACAGGTCTGCGCTGGGGACGGGCAGCCTAACCATGCCCTACAGGTTTAGGATGTTGTCCAAAACCTGTAGTTTCCAGTTAACACAATAGCTGGCAGAGACCTTGGGTCCCTGGTAAGGGATGCAGGAAAAGGGTGAGTGGTGAAGGAAGAAAAGAGAGGTTTTTCGAATATTAACGCAGCCCTGAGCTTTAGTTCAGGCTCTAACAACAACAGATCACAGTAAATCTTAGGTCCCTGTTTACTTTCTTTCCCTGACTCCACCTTCCCCAGTTTTTCAATCTGTCTTCTCTTTCTGGCACTGAAAATGTGTGGTTTCTGAAAATGTGCCCCTTGGTCTGGAAGTGTGGGGATTCCAAAAAGCTTTCAGGAACTACTGACTCAAGGCTGAAAAGATCCACATTGTCCAGATGTGTACATTTACTCAGACACAGCTCACAAAGCACTTTTACAATCTTTTAACAACCACAGTCAACATGGCTGGGATTTCCACTTTGGGAATCCTGTCTTCACGGACACATCATCAGTCCGTGGTTGGGATTCCAGCCTTTGAAGCTGGAGTCTGTCCTGTGTTGTGTCCCCAGTTCTATGTGACTCTTCAGCTGCTTCTGAGGAACCCTGTCAAGGCCCAAGGGTCAAAATCCCTACCTCAGGGTACACATTTTGTTCTCCCTGTCCTATGTTAAAAAAAAAAAGCCTAAGGCATAAATGTGTGGCATTTATGCTCCTACATAAGGACCTTGGGCCACAAGAGGAGAAGCAGGATTTGCTGATCATGCTGAACTGGTCTCACTCCAAAGTGGCTCTAGAGCTGTTGCTAACAGAATCTACAACTCTTCTCCTTTTAGGTCCCACCCAACTTCCCATTGCAATTAGAGGCCTTCTGGATCACCCCCAAACATCTGGCTTACCTGCACTTACACTGACGCCTTTATTTACGCAGTTACCTCCTTAAAGAATTTCCTGCAGTCCCCTCTTATCTGTCATGCAACCTAATCTCCTTCAAGACCTGCCAGGCCACAGCTAGAGAGGTTGCAGAATGTGGAACTGTTTGATGTCCTACCAGCCCCCACCAACATGAAAATGACCAGCAGGCTCAGTCATGTTGCCACGGTTAAACATCAACTGTTTAAACACCAACCGTGGAATCTGCAAATGGGTAAATACCATACTGTGTGCAGGGAGCCAAAGAATCTACTCAAAAACAGCTGCTTGATATGTGTCAGACTGAGCCTTGGTTACAGAGCAACACAGACGGGCTAACAAAATACATATTCTGATGTTTCTTAAACCTATTATAGCAGGGAGACTAATTGAAACAGCTCTCCTACCAAGCAGAAAATTCCATATGCAGAGGAGATCAATAAAATGAGGCTGTGGGTTGTGGAACATCAGAGAAAGCCAGTTCCCTCTTAGAGAGGGAAGTGAAATATGTTCAGAGTAACCTGAGATATCCCAGGCCTCTCCAGCCTGGACAGGGAGATGAGGTTGCATTGGAAATAACCGGCATTCCATCCCATACCCTGCCTGTTCCTGGGGGACTTCAGGCCCCAGCAAGGGCTCTATGCCTATTTCTGGGAGCACCAGGATGTCTCTCATTTTTCTCGTGAAAAAGCTGGTCCTGCTAAGCATCCACTGGGCTCTACCATACCTGGCTGTTTCTTGTCCGCGCCCAGCGTGCTGATGCACTGTGCAGTCAAGAAGATCTCTGCCCACTTTGCATTTGTACCTCTGAGCCTTCTAGGATTTTAGTGAAAGAGCCCTTTGAGTTTGACTCACCGGCTCTTACCTCAATAGTTCAAAGGAAGGTCTGGACCAGGGGACAAATTTAAACATCAGATACTATGGGTCACTCAGGATCAGCCTCCTCCCCCAGGGACCAAGGCTTTATTAGAGGATCCAGCTAGTCTTGCCTAGCTGCTTCTTCACAGTCATGGCTGATCAAGTCTTTATGTTGCCCAGGCCTGTGAATCTCACCTTGAGCTCAAGCATAGTTCCCCAAGTCAAAAAAATTAGACCTCAGCAGGTGATGTTTCTGGACTGTAATCATGGAACAGACAATTTTCATCACAACATCAAATGTTAATGATGTCCTGCAGTCATGCTTATGTTGTTATAATAGACTGAGAATTAAATTAATTGAAACAATGCAATCTATAAAACAATTATTTTAATTTAGAGTATGTACTTTTCTAAAAACTATTACATGCTTAGAAGTTTTTTAAAAACCGAACTGTGCAACCTTTAGTAAATTACCCTACCACTGTGCCCTTGAAGGTATTGGAAAAAAATAACCCTAAATTCCTATAAACTCTAACACTCAATGAGGCTCTATAATCCGTACCTTCCCAAAAATACCCTGGCTATAAACACCCATAAAAGGACAGAAGAGACACAAAATTCTTGTTGGAGAAATTTATCACCCACCTCCATGTCTATAAATGTCCCATGGACACTAAATACAATCATTCAGATTCCCTAGAAACCACCATATTTTTGCAAGAATTCATTCTGGTCAAGGGTTGGGAACCCAGGAGCAGGCCTGGAGTTCCTAATTCATCCAGCTGTCCCAACACAAACGCACAAAGATGAATTCTCCAAAGCTGCACCCATCTGTGTTTGCAAACATTTATACAAGACTTTTGAATGGAGAAAATGCATTTCCAGGCAAATTTGACTTTTTCAAATGGCACTTATATCAGTTAGTACATCTCACCCTCCACATCTCTTGTGAGGGAAGCTGATGGGTATTAACTGCCTTGTGCAAACACAAACACAGAAACTCAGGTAAGATCAGTTTTGCTTAGTAGATAAATCCCAAACACAATATCAGCTGGGTTGCCTGTCATAACTGGACCTTCTTTGGGGCTAAAGACAAAGTTTGTCTAACTTGGATATTGAGAAGAGTTCAGTATCACTTGCTCTGGGGCCAACTCAGAGCATGGGTGGACCAGCTCTAGCTGTCAAATAACAGCTGGAGTCCAGCCTGGAGCTTCTCCTCCACCCACTCTGCTCCCAACCTTAAAGAAGAACAGGGGAAAATAATCCTTCCCTTCACAGCAAGGGACACCCTGGCCCCTGCTGCCCCTTTGTAAGCACTCCAAGGGAAAAACATCCCAACAGGTCCAGGTGCCAAGTGGAGCAGCCAGGTAGGATCACCCAGAGCCGGGTCGTGCTAGTTATTAAGTTAATTTTCTCTTGGCCTCAAAATTCATCCCAAACTGGAGATGCTGTAGTTGGGACACTGCAAATCACATTCCTTGTTCATGCCTGGATAAGCTCTGCCCGTAGGGGGTGCTAGCAGGAATCTGCACGGCTGGAGGAGGAAATGGGAACTGGCCTCTTTGTTCACTTCCTCTTTGCATCCTGGTCACTTTCTATTGGCTTCCTGTCCCTGTCAGGAAAGTTGCAGCCTTTTTTGTTCACCCTAGGCAGTGACACTCCTTCCAGAAGCATTTGAATCCAGTTTTTGGTTTTTCTAACACCCACAGAAGCAGACTCATGGGTGTCCCCCTCAGAGATACCAGCCAAACAGCTTCTCTCACCAGAGGTGGAGGTACCATCCCACAGGGACTCTCCCCAGAGCTCAGAGACACCATCTCCTGCCGAGCAGCATCTTGACTCTCTCACCTCTGGAGTCTGAGACTCAACCCACATGTCCTTTCTTCAGGCATCTACCTTTCAGTGAGTCTAATATCTTCCCTCTATTCCTCAGCCTTAGGAGTGAAAACTGCCTCCTGTACACAGCTCCATGGTACCTTTGTATTATCTCCCTGCCCTTTTCAGTCACCTGGTTAATAAGTATTTATATTAAATTATCTCCAGTAAAATAATTGGTGATTTCTGTCTCCTGCCTGGACCGGGTCTAATCACCCACAGTGAGCTCCTCAGCATCTATGGCAGAGACTAGATCCAGGGATTGCCAGACCACAACACTGGGGGACACACACCCAAACCATCCACCCACCCACAGCCTGATCTGGTTTCTCTCGGCCAACCTCTGCATGAGCAGAAGCAAGATCAGATTTAAAGGACATCATGAAATCTGCGGCAAATGGAGCTTAATTACTGTACAATCTTCGGGAGTGGCTGCAGGGACCGCTCACTAAACATTTGCGTGTTTCTCCTTACTGGTCAATAGCGAGCTATACGGAAGCATCCTCATCATAGGCTTTCGGGGAAAGATGATCTTGTTATAGTTGGTGGTGGGACCATCTCTGGAATCTATCTGTAAGCGTGTGGGTTCCGGGATCATGGTAGGACCCATGGCCGATATGGAGTAGGTGCCCCACACCGATAGCGTGCTCTCTGACAGCTTGTCCCTGAACACAGCGTCACTGGAGGACTTGGATGACTTTCTCCTTTTCAGCTGAATGACACTGGAAGGCTTATTCCGCCTCGAGGGCCGGCAGCTTTCCTCAAGAGCATGCATGCATTCCATTTTGCTTGTCTCAATGAGTCTTTCCACTATCGGGGAGGTGTATGTGACATAGGCTGGCCAGGGGTTATGTTTTTCAAGCAGTTTCCAGGGAAGTCCAATGTTTTCTGTGAGTTCTACCAGCAAAGAGAAATGCGGGTTATTTAGAAGTACTCACATGCAATCATTCGATTCTTCAAAGAACGGGATGGCACTAGAATCACATTTTGAAGTTCTCTCCATTATGCACCCCTTGTATTCAGTGAGAGTAAAATCTGATCCAAAGTTGGGGGACAGAGTGACACTCTAAAGAGAGTATATCAACTAAAGGACAGCAGAGTGACAAGGAACAAGAGATGGAGTCAAGCTGGCTTCAAATATTCTCATAACTTCACATTGTTTTACCCCTGAACTTATATTTTTTGCACCAATAAAAATGACTACATTAAGGCTATTGTAAGGACTAAATACAGTTCAGTTTTAAGGGTTTGGAACAGCATAGCCTAGGGCTTGAAAGCATGGGCTCTGCACTTGACTGCTGCAAATTCCAGCTCTACTCCCTTCCCAGCTGCCCTGAGCCAGTTTGTTAACCCTGCTAAACTTCAGGGGACTCATCTGTAAAACGATGGTAAGAATGAGAACAACTTCATAGTGCTTTCTTTTGGATTATAGATAATTTATGTAAAGATTTTAGCATAGTATGTGACACGTAGTAGTCAGAAAATGGTGCTACTAACATTTGGCTATGTCTCCTGTACTGAACCATTTCATTTCATCCTTATTATACCTTGTAAGGCAAGTATTATCCCCATTTAACAGAGGGTAAAACTGAGGCTGACTAGCTTGCACCAAGTGGCAAGTTTGAACTTAAGTTTAAACAAGCTCAAAAAACTATAAGCTTTTCACTATAGCTGCTAGTCAGAAGTTTATAGCATGTTTGGGGCAGTAGGGCTTTGCCAGAAATTTGATTAGTTTACCAAGCAGCCTGTTCCTCTACAGATAGTAAATCATGGTCAGTCAGTTCTTCCCTTCTTTCATTGGCACCTTCACTCTGTCTAGCAGAAACACCTCGACATTTCTCTCTTGCAGTCACTACCTTCCTCTGTGCTCCCAAGAGGCACATTTTCCCCCCTAATTCTATATTTTTTTGGTCCTTTCAATAGAAGTTAAAGAGGGAGGAGAGTTAAAAGATTCATCTCATCAACTCCAAACTGAATTCAGAAAAGGAAAAAAAAGCTGTAAGTGGGGATAATCAAGAGAAGATGTTGACTGATATTCCCAGGCTGCCCTGTGACCATCCAGGAGCTGGAGCTTGTCTAGGGACAGATCTGTCAGTGGAGAATGTGCTGTGGAAAGATTCCACATCCCCGCAAGAGTCATGTGTGACTCTGCCTCAGGAAGGCAAGATGTGTGACTTCGCCTCTCACTGGAAAACTCCCAGCAAGCACAGACTGACTGTTCATCGCTGTCGCCTGGAAGCAAATGCAAAATGCAAAGATCTCGCATTTGCATGAATGCGAGAAGATTAGGGCATTTGCATGAATCTGGCAGAAGTGAAACTAAAACTGTCAAAAGCAAAATGAGCAGCAACCCCCTTCCAACCCCTGAACACGCTATATTTTTTGCCAGCATAAACAAGGGTGGCTGTCCAGGGAACCCTGCCTCTTCCCACCCAACTCCTCCAAACTTAACCAAGCCCAGCACAGGCGCTTCTGTTTAATGCCCTCAACCTTACCTTCTGTCTTCATCTTTCTTGCATCGGTTCTCTCTCTTACATTCACAGATTTCTTCGCATCATACGTCCAAATTCCTGTGGGTAAATATATGTGTTAGCCAGAGTCTCCCTAAACTGACCTGAGAGAAAAGTGACCAGTAGCCTGGGGGTCCTGAGCCCCATGGTCTCTGCATGAGACTAACATGTCTCCTCCCCCAGAGAAGACCACAAGCCTTCTGTGGAGCCAGAGACAGGACAGGTGAGCCCCAAAAAGGCTGGCAGGCACGGTCTTGCTCAAGATCCTTATGATGTCATAATAGTTTCCGGGTGCTCTGCTGTCTAGTCACCTCCCTTTAAAGGAGAGTGCTGAGCAGATCAGGGACTGTGGTGGAGGCTGGTCCACAGAGGGAGGCAAAGAAAAAGATGTCTCCATTTCAAAATCATGGCATCTCCTCTGCAAGTGTTACTGCAAGTGCATCAAGTCCCCGCCCCCAACCTGCATTTTCCAGCCTGGAGCTAGGGGCAGAGGGTGACAGAGATGGGAAGCTGCCAGGAATCACCTACAGGGACCCCAAGTCCAGGATGAATCAACAGGTAAGTCTGAAGGCTCTATGTGGTCACACGGGGGGGAAATTTGATGGAAACTGTGGTGTAACGGTTCTCAAACTTCAGGGTGAATCTACCTGAAAGACTTGTTAAAAACACAGATTGCTGGGCCCATATCCAAAGTTGCTGATTCAAAGTTGCTGGTTGTTTTAACCCAAAAGGGAAAAGAAAAAACATACTGGAGATTTGTAAAGTTGTATTATTAACTACCGAAAGACAGCTCCTTTCCAGTTCTAAGATACATACTTTTATCCAGGAATTCATTATTTTTTACATTCAATTTTGCCATCTTTGTGGACTTAAGCATTTAAAAGGGCTGTGGATTGCCAGGTGTGGTGCTCCAGCCTGTAATCCCAGCACTTTGGGAGGCTGAGGTGAAAGGATTATCTGAGCCCAGGGGTTTGAGACCAGCCTGGGCAACTTGGTGAGACCTCGTCTCTACAATAAATCAAAAAAATAAGTTGGGTGTGGTAGCACACGCCTGTAGTTCCAGCTACTTAGAAGGCTGAGAAGGAAGGATTGCTTGGGTACAGCAGGTCGAGGCTGCAGCAGCCGTGAAGCATGCCACTACACTCTAGCCTGGGCGACAGAGTGAGATTCTCAAAAATAAAAATAAAAGGGCTGAGGAGCATTTCCACTACAACCTGCCAATGTCCAGTGAAGGAGCCTCGGATATTTGATAACAATTACCCAGGTGATAACAAGAACCCAGATGAGTTCTGGAGACCACATTTTGACTGCCATGAGTCTAGGGCAGTGCTTCTCAAATTTTCACAAGTACCTAGAATCACCTGAAAGCTTGTAAAAATAAATGCCCAGGTCTCACCCTTAGAGATTCTGATTCACTAGGTCTGTTCTGGGGACCAGAGAATCTGCATCTTTAAAATAACTCCTGAGCGATGTTGATGTTGCTGGTCTGTGGCTCATCCTCTGAGTAGCTCTGGTTTAGACTGAGTAATGGTGCTAAATGTTTCTTTTAGCTACAACATATGTGAGATCTGACTGGTTCCCATGTGAAGCACCCTCCGAGATAAACAATTCCCAGGCTTTCCACTCCTCTTTTCTCCTAATCAAGGAATTACTATGGAATGCAAGTTAGTGTGTCATTGACAGGAACAACTTTAAATTCTACTGTTTTCTAAGGTAAATTTTTAAAAGAAAAATTTAAGGTAGTACCTTTAATTTTACCTGTCTGTAACAGTAAAATATCAAGTGACGCATTCTAATTCTTCCCAGAAATAATCAACATTTGATTTATTCATAGTGGATAGCCAATCCGGTCAATAACGAATGGATGTAATAATGTAAATTATTCACAGATTTTGGCATTTTGTTATAACATACCTAACAAAGGATAGCATCTAAGAGGTTAGATTATACTTTTTTTTTAAAGGTTAGTTTTTGTCAAACCTATTTAGAGATAGGCCTTACTGTGGGTCCCAGTGGCTATCTTCCACAACAATTTATTTTTAGAGAAACTCACAATATCATTTTTCTGAAGCTATGAGGAAATAAGGCTCGGTCATCTAATAATTCTTTTAAAGAAATAAGAGAGACAAGTGGGTCCTCATTAAACTGAAAAACTTCTGCAAAGCAAAAGAAACCATCAAGAAAGCAGGGAGACAATCCACAGAATGGGGAAAAATATTTGCCAACTGTATATCTGACAAAGGCCTAACATCTAGGATCTGCAAGGAACGTGCTGATAGGAAAAAAACAAAGAACTTCATTCAAAAGTGGGCAAAAAATATGAATAGACACTTCTCAAAAGAAGACAAATGGGTAGCCAACAGACACATGAAAAAGTGCTCAGCCTACTAATCATCAGAGAAATGCAAATCAAAACCACATTGAGATACCACCTAACCCCAGTAAGAATGGTCATCATTAATAAAACAAACAACAACAGATGCTGGCAAGGATGTAGAGAAAAGGGAACACTTATACACTGCTGGTGGAAAGGCAAACTAGTCAACCTCTATGGAAAACAGTGTGGCGATTTCTAAAAGAACTAGACATTGACCTTCCATATGACCCAGCGATTCCCCTACTGGAAATATACCCAGAGGAACTCAAATCATTCTACAAAAAAAGATACCTGCAGGTGCATGTTTACTGCAGCACTATTTACAATAGCAAAAACATGGAAACAACCGTGCTTCCATCAAAAGTGAACTGGATAAAAAAATGTGGTATATATACATGATGGAATATTACACAGCCATAAAGAAGGACAGGCATATAGACTTTGCTGCAATTTGGATAGATTTAGAGTTTATCATACTCAGTGATCTACCACAGAAACAAAGATCAGAGTACCATATGTTCTCACTTATAAGTGGACCCTGAACATTTACCATAATACTATAAGAAAGGGATTGGCAGTAGGGAGATACTGCCAGGGTGGGGGCGGGGACACAACATCAATAAGGGTACCTGATCTCAAACCAGGCAAAGTGGGGACCAAAGGGAGGCCCAAACTTTACCTGTACAATGTCCACGTGTATACCTAATCCTGAATTGTGCCCCACATCTTTAAAATAAACTATAAAAAGGGAAAAATAATAATAATTCTTTAAAAAAATTGGAAGTTAAAACATACTGTTTTTCATTCTAAGACCAACCATAAAGTCTCAGAATTTAAGGTCATCCATTCCAAGTCCCCTATAGCATACAGCATGACATTCAGGTGGCCACCCAGACCATCCCTGTCTACCTTCAATGAAAGGGGCCTCAACTTGCCTTCTGAATTTGTAGAGCTGTTAGAAATTTGTATTTCTTCTCCCCAAATGTAAAATAGGACTGATCAGTCATGACAGATTTGAGCTGGCAATATTTGTGGATTTGGGATCATTCCTTTCATCCTTGCTTTCAAATTTCTAGGTAATGAAGCCTGAAGCCTCATGGAAGCCCAGTTCTCAGTGAATCACTTGTTTCAACACCAGTGTGTATTTGTGTAACCCACCATCTTGCTAAGAGCCCCTCACCATGACTCATCAGACCCACCCCCCAAAACACACATACACACACACACACACACACACAGCCGTCCTTTGTGGCTGATAGCACAAGTCTACAGAATGTCCAGGTTTTATCATACCTGCTGATATGGAGACTGGGACATTGTAAAACAAAAAAAAAAACAAGGGAGGGAATGTTTGAGACTGCCTCAGAACTCAAGGGGAGTACTTGTTTGTTTGAAAATAACAGGAGACAAATAGTTGACATTAAGTCTGAAGAAAAGCTGTGGGCTTTTATAATTTCCTTCACTTCCAGCACAAAGGTTCCATTTTGTCTCCCTGTAAATGAAATGCAAACCAGCAGTCCACAGACAGAAACAATATTGAAGGGAGGGGCAGGAGGCATAGCGTTGAAGTGGCTTTCTTGTTTCTCCTACAGACATAAAGCCCATGTTCAGTCCACTGGGTTTTCAGGGGCATCTCTCCCAACCCCTATCAATTCGCTCATCCCATCCTGAAACCTGACACAACGCTGTGATATTGATCATGATCCTTAACTTCTTAAAACCCCGCTTATCACTTATGAAATGAGGATGAGAACACATTCGTGTCTCTCAGAGAGGCATAGTTATTTTAATAAAATATCTGGAAATGAAAGTGCTTCTACCCAGTGGCCCTCAAACTTTGCTGCACATTGAAATTACTGGAGATCTTTAAAACTATACAGACGCAGTCTCTCCCTCCTAACATGATTTGATTGGAACAGGAGATATCACAGGCATTGGAATTAAAAGTTTCCCAGGAGATTCCAAGGTGCAGCAAAGTGTGGGAACCACGGTTCTAGAATCTAAATCAAAAAACACTGAGGATGTATAAGGTATTATTCTTTTTTTTTTTTTTTTTTCATTAATCAGTATTTTTTATTATGGTTTTGTGGGGTACAGTTAAGGGTTAGGTGTACAATGACGTTTCATTCAGGCACCCTGTAGATAAAAAAGTGTTTTCCCATCCCCCGACAGATATTTGCTACTGTTAATCCCATCCCCCTCCCCCCCATAGTTTCCCAGAACCATCCGTCATTTTCTCATAGTATTGCATTGGATGTTCAAGG